TGTAGCTGCGAGCAACAATTTATAATAAAAAAAAATCATACATATGGTTTATTGGTTCATAATCTGAAAATAACTGAATGCATTTTGATTGATTTTACTTGACCATACAGTTACAGACATGCATGTTTTTTTCCCCCTTCGCTACATCCCATTATCCTGGATGGAATCCAACATTCGGACCATTATGGAAATAAATCACTCAGGTTAATAAGCGATTACACATTCTCCATCAGATTAAGGAAGGCTGCAGGGACCTGCTCACAGGATGGGATTTAGCCCTGGACTCTCCTTGCCATGTGTGGTCCAAAAAGCTTGGTTGTTTAAAAGAGAGTGAAAGAAAACGCTCTTGGAACTTGACTTTTATCTTTTGGTGAGAATAGTCTCTGATACGTTAAAGGATTGAGATTTAAAAGTAGCTTGTGAAGGACTGTAGAAAAGGGACTAATTAGCAGTTCTTGTAGTGCAAACATTGTCCCGTTTTAGATGAGAAATAAACAACATTTCTGCTGATCTACATTACTGATGAACACTAACATCTAAAAAGAGAAGAAGAGAAGAAGAACATGTTGCCTTGTGACTGAGATGCAGGGCGACAGTTGACCTATAAGGGGGCTGACTCACCCCCGCGTTCACTTCACCACTAATATATTCACTTAGTAACGCTCAGGGGGTGTGTGCTGCTGCTCTGTAAAAACGCTGAAAACATTGCCCTCATGCCAACACAACAAATGTGATAAAGTAATCCTGCGGGACAGATAAATTAATCAAGTGATAAAATAAAAGTTAGGAAAACAAAATAACATGACATTTGTTTGGAAATAAAATAAAACCAGCTGACAGGATGAATAAAGAGGAACTGCTTTTCATTGAACACGCAGGAGAAGGAGCAAGAGGTCGGTGGAAGCACATGAAGTGGTTGAACAAAGCTGACTGAAAAACGCAGAAACTCGTCGTGAGAGAGAGGAAAAAAAAGGACGTGAAGAGTGTGAGAAGAAAGAGGAAGAGGCGAGCTGAGACATAAAAAGCTTCACGGACGGAGGCCTGAGTCTTATCAGCATAGATTGCTGAGAGAGATACGGGCCAGCAGACAAGGCGCTGTGTTTAGCCTGTTTGATATTTCCTGTCATCATCATTAAGTCAGCTACGGCCGCTGAGGAACAGAGCTGCCATTTGGAGAGACACCCAGAAAAGGAGGACGATAAAGACGGACAGGATTGTTGGTCAAGAGCGCAGAGAGAGCCGTACCACAGCTAATGAAGCAGTGCCGTCATGGCTGCTGCAGTATCTCACCTTTATTAGGAGGCTGAAATTCTTCTTGCAATGTAATTACAAAAATCTGCGGCTCTCTCTGCAGCCCAAACGAACTGCATGTAATGTGGCTGGGAAGCTTGTTGAAGATTTGGGGGGTGGGGGGATGGAGCCGAGTAGCTGACAGTAACGGTCTGTGACACATCCCCGCCGCAGGAGTCGTGGGCGCTAGTGTATTGTGACAGAGTGCGACCTTTAAAGGCCAGAGATTGATGCACAGCAGCTCCTAAACCCAGAGACTCTTTCAGTCCACCCCCACCCCTCCCGACTGCAGCCAGTCAACTAAAACATAAAAGCCTTCTTGACCTCAAATGGACAAAAAGTCATACGGGGGCCTGGGCCCCGACCACACGGTGAATCTGTTAATAAGCTCTACATGCTGCTAACTGCTGTTACCTTAAACTATGTGATCAATTACTGAAATCTGCCAGCTGCCAATTAATATCAAACTCCCAACTAATTGTACGACGATAATGTCCTTTGAAAAGGAAGTCCACTACTGCCACCTGCTGGTTATATTTACCAACATCAGGCTCTGTTTTCTGCAAATGAAGTGCACAAAATTATACTTTAAATTAAAACTAAAATAATTTTTAACAGATAAAGGTTTCCAAATATTTCACAAAAATAATGCAACAGCCTGGAAACCTCCTAAAATAAACTTAATTATTTCAATCAATATTCATTTATATATTTTGATATTTAATTTCAAATATTTTTAAATGACATTGAATCATTTAATTACCGGTATATCAAATGTAGTTTTTATTTTTCTATGGCAATAGCATTAAGTTTAAAGTCATGGTGAAATTATATTTAAATATCAATTAATTCTGGCTTAAACATGTATATAAATGTAATCTTTATTAGACGATATTGTCCCAAAAGTTATTATTTTTTATTTTTTTAAATCCTGTCTTAAAATCTTTTTTTTTTTTTTTTATTGTCTTATGCAAGCCAGTTAATTATATGTCAACCTGAACACCAAAATTCGGCCAACCATCAATGATTCATCAATTATCAATCAATTTTTTTTCGGTCATAGCATCTTGATTCATATGTCGCAGCTAATATACGCAACGGTTGAAATCAGAATCCTTTCCTTTCCCATTGAGTTGCGTCCCAGTGTTCCCATTGAGTTGCGTCCCAGTGTTCACGGGGATGGACGTCCGTGTCTTCATCAGGCGTAGAGCTAACAGAACTGGCAGCGTTGCGAGGCAAGGGCTCAAACATGTACGGCTGGAAGCCTTCTACACCAAACCAAGCTTCTGCCGCCCTGGCGTCCTCTTCCACAACATCTTCGTCCCCGCTTTCCTCCTCTAAATAAAAAATGGATGACGGAGGAGACTCATCCACGACCTCCGACACTAAACTCTCCTCCTCTTGCATGTTTCCGCTGTCCATAGCGTTCCTTGACAGCGTCGTTTCTAAGTCACCAATTTAGTGCTACTTGGTCCCAATAGAATTTGACACTGGGAACCTGCTAGCACTAAGTTGCTAACTGGTTAGCAAGATGCTTCCGACAAACCAGCTACAGCCAGACTTGCTTGCGAACCTTCTGCCACAACAATCCCGCCCCCTTGATAATCGACCAATCTTATTCACTTTATTCACTCGTATAAAGTCGTGCTCCACTTGGGAGAATTCGGAAATGCAACGGTTGGAACGGCCGCTTCCCTACGACTTTACCTCCTCCAGGCCAGTAAGTGGCGCTCTTGACCGATAACTAGGTCCGCAACAAATACGCTCCAAAGCTCGATCAACGTTCATTCTGGTTTTGCTCGTTTTGATTTGCTTTTGTTAGCTTACATCTGAGCAATCTAGCACAGAGAAGAAGACATTTCTTAGCTTAATCAATGAGCTATTAGCATCTGGCGACGTCTGAGCTCTGAATCACGTGACTTCAACCTACTATTCCTATTGGTGCAGAAGCCTTCCGCATCGCCGTTGGCATGTTAACCAGAAGTAAATATTTAGAGTTTATTGGACCCATCGAAATGTATTAAACAAATATTTATATATATCTTTTATAACTCTATACTTTTTTTCCCACCACTCTAGACATGCTGCATATGTAGTATATTTGAAAAATAATCGTTTTGATTAAAAAGTTGAAGCTTTGACCTTTAATTGGACATTTAATCTTGCATTTTACACTTAATTCGCAATATTTATTATCCATATCCTATATTAGATAAATAAATATTACATTGACATATTTCATGGTACATTTATTTATTTATTTTATCTACATTTGTCTTTTATGCTGTATTTTGGCGTCCATATATACCTCAGAGATCACATCACCCCGAAGTGAAAACCTTCTTGCAGCTCCCACTGTGGGAACCCCTTGTCTAGGGCATTAGAGCCCATTTCTCGATGTTTACTGGTGAAAAATAAGAGGGCACTTAAAGGTGGAGGAAAAGCATAGAGCCATCTAAGAAGTTAATGAAATCCCTTCAAATTTCTCACATCTCTGAAGTGATTCCATCAGAAGTCCCTAATCAGTAGACTGTGTCCTTCTGTGTGTGATTTGATCTCAGTATTCCCATTCCCATGGTGGAGGAAGTGTCATGCTGTGGGATGCCTTCCTTCCCCAGGGAAAACAAAGCTGGTGAGAGTTGATGGAAACATGGATGGAGCTAAATCCAGAACAGTATTGGACAAAAACCTGTAGAAGACCTGAGTCTGTGGTGGAGGTTCTCCTTCCAGCTTGAGAACCGCGCTGAACAATCATCCAGAGGTTAGATTAGAGGGTTTGATCAAAGTAGATGTGCTGGACTGAATCCTCTAATTAAATTATAGACCTAAATCCAAATGTTCCAGATCCGTTTCAGTCAGATTGGCTGTCTTCCATCCAACATGACTGAGCCGGATCCAGTTTACTAAGAAGGTTTGCAAAGATGCAAGGGAAACTAAGCTCTGATCGTACGTGTGAGTCTTTAACCGAGGGGAGTTGGGTATAAACGCACACCCCAAAAAAAATACCTACAGAGCATCATTTCCCTTCCGCTTCACAAAGACACACTACGAAGAGATAGTATAGCTAATGAAGATCCTGTAAATACATTAGTGCTGCAACTAAGGATTATTTTTGCAAATCAATTCATCTTTTGATTCTTTTTTCAATTAATCGATTAATAATCAGATAACCAAATGCTCCTTAAAGATTTTTTATGAAATCAAACAAGGTAAAACTAAAACTTTTTCACTTGAGGAGTTCTAGACAGAACATATTGACAGACAAAAACATTTTTTTAAATCTTCAATGCAAAATGTTTGCATATTATTTTTTTACAATGTTAATATAAGACGTATGTAAATTAGCAACTATGCTATAATCTGGCTCATTTACAATCTGTACAGAAGTATAAGATTGTTCATTAAACACAATAAAAACAATTATTGCTCTAAGTTGGTTGCTCTGACAGCTAAAGGCATGTTTTACAGTCTATTTTCCAGTTAATGGTTAATTTATTACTAAATTAGTTGACGGTTATCTTAACAATCAATAAATATGATTAGTTGTTTTAAGCTCTAAGCGCATAAATACAATAAGTTTCCTTTTAGAACTGAACTGAACTCATGAGGTTATAAAAACCTTGGATGTAAGGAGGCGCCTTGAAAAAGAGCAGGTAAAGGAGCATCAGGAAAGCTGGAACCTCTGTGGTTTGTGGGGGGGAAGGGTTTACCTTTCGTAGACGGTCTTGAGTGTGATCTGATCCGACACTCCTTCAGCCTCCTCCAGGAACAGGATGATCCATGACGTCCTGTACGGCCACTCCTCCGTCAGGTGGATCCACGACGCCAAGCGGTCCCAGTTGAAGAGGATCTGATTGGCCCGCAGCAGACGACCTGTCCACACCCATGCAGACGATTTAGGCTCCACATCTGCTCCACTGTAACCCGAATATCACCCTCACCATATCTGATTTGTACATTAAACATTATATATTTGGTTCTTACTGTAATGCTAATGTTAGTGTTGAACTTTATAATCCTTTTTAGTTCTTTTACATTAATTTTGTGATGAATATTGCACGTTTATAATTCCTGTTCTAGTAGCTCTTGCGTCCAGCTGTAGATGCCATAAAGTCCAGAAATGAAATACAAAAAAAATGTATTTAATTTTATATTAGTACAAATATTTTTTTACTTTTTTTTCTTGTTTAAGTTAAGGGTTAATATACGGACAAATAGAAATATAAATTATTTGGAACAGTTAATTCTGCATCACATCCACATATGATCACCTGGCTAACAATCTATGTCAGGGGAAAGTGAGACTGCGTCCTTTCAGCTAGCTGACCTGCAGTGCGCAGTAACAGGCTGATACGATGGCTGTGCTCTTAGATGTTCCAGCTTAGAGCAGACCTGCTCATTCCAACCATCTTGAAACTGTATTTCTAAAACTTTACCTTCTTAGCTTTGGAGGGTTAAGAAGGAAAAAAGGAAATAAATCAATAAAGCATAAAATATAGTATTATAAATGTATAATGAAATAAATGAATGTACCCTAAAATAAAAAGGACCCACTAATATTATCAAATTAAGTAATATTACTACTTTTTAAATAATATTTCATTATTTCACTATTTGTTTTATATAAATTACTTTATTTAAAAAATATTATTATTTAATCTCATTATTTAAAAGTTATTTTTAATCGTTTAAAGGCACATTTCATTACTGAATGATGTATTAAATAAATAAATGATACCTTTAATCATTAAATGGTACATTTATTCATTTAATTTTGTCCTCTCTAATCCTCCGTACTTACAGCCTCAGGACTCTACAGTAACACCTGACAGAAACAGCTTTAACTTCATTTAAATTTGCCCAGGATTCTTTTCAACAATAATAACTACTTTTATTCAGAGCACTCCTTTATAGCATTTAGTTGTGTAAAAAAAAAGTAACTTTTAGTTTCATTAGCAGCTCAATGGTCCCGTCCTCACCGGTGATGGACACGATGTTGAGAAGCCTCCTCATGGTCTGCGGACTGATGTCACAGAACCAGTCCTCAGTCACCAGCAGCTTGGTAAGGTCGAAGGACATTTGCCTGGTGAGGGTCCTCTGCATCTGCCGACGGCGATACGTGTCCTGGACAGGAGAATCAGAATAACGGAGTTCGGTTTAAAGTGTTTGGATCCCAGACGCCTCGGCCCCCTGAGGTACGATAAGCCTCATGTGTTACAGCTGATACCAGACTTAGACTTAGACAGATTTATTTGTCATTTTGTTTACACGAGTGTGAAACAAAAAGAAATTTCATTTGGAACAGCTCTCTGGACATATTTTTGAAAGTTTCCAAGCATTCCAGTATCCATGTATGTGGCATTGAGTCGTAGGCTTTCTTATAGTCAATCCAGGCAGTGCACAGATTTGTCTGCCTGGTCTTACAGTCCTGAGTGACAGTGACAGGAGCTTCCATGTTGTACATAGGCAAGTTATTGGCCGGTAGTTGGATGGGGTTGTTCCCTTCTGCGGATCCTTCATGATCTGGATTGTCCGTCCTTGGGTTAGCTATTCTGGGTGGGTCCCATCCATCAGCAGTTGGTTCATTTGTGCTGCGAGGCGAGGCGTGCATGAAGTGCGGTTAGTTTTTTCAGCCAGTAGGTGTGGATCATGTCAGGGCCTGATCTGCTGTCGTAGGTCAGCCGCCCTTACGTTTAGTGGGCTTGTTGTTGTTGGGGCTGGGGACCCAATCTCTGTGTGTTGGGATGATGATATCTCCCTACTGACCTGTTGTCCTGACTCCCCCTTGCTGCAGCATGTCAGTTGTACCTCATCAATTTCTAGCTGTGATAAGAGCTGCCGTTTGCAAATGTTAGAACACTGAGTTAGTAGTTGTTTCTTTGTCAGTGTCGATGATGGTTGTTGGAGCTGCCATAATTCACATAGTCTCTGCATGTAACCTCTCTCACTGGGGACGCTTGTATAGTAGCATTTCATCAGTTCCAAGTTTTCTGCTCTAGTCCTTGTATGTCTTGTTCCAGTAGCCAATTTGTCATCAAGTTGCCCTGGTTCCCTAGCAACTGACGCAGACCTTGTTAACCCGGGCGAAGTCCGAGCCGGTATGGCTCTTGTATTTGCGTTTTCACTCATGCCTGAGGTAGGCCACTAAGCACAAAGGACCTTGCCTAAGGTTCCACCTGGATGTCCATGCCGGGAATCGAACCCACGGTCACCTGTAACAAAGTCGTCGGTGTTACCTACTGATGTATATATATATATATTAGGGATGGGACGATTTATGAAAACCGTCAGAATCGTTCGGTTCGACTGTCGCGGTTCGGTTCGCGTGTGTTTCGTTCGGTTCATGCGCTGCTCCTTTTTCTCATAGAGGAAGCGTGTACACTCCAGAGCAGAAGGTGGCGGTACTGCGACCAAAGCCAACC